TGCAGCCATCATTGTTGTTTGGCGGGTCCGGGCTGGACTCGAACCCGCCACCCTAGGTGCATGTGGCTGGCGCCTTAGCTGCTTGAGCCACAGGTGCCGAGCCCTTTTTGGTATTCTTAAAGTAGGGATTCCAATAAATAAAACTCCAGATACACTCATAGACATTATAAAATTCCCCTAAAATAAAGAAAGCACGATATCTACAGATTAAAAAATGACCATCCCATGTTCCAGGAGAACTGTATAGAGAACGCTTGAATGAAGACATAGACTAATTTTGGACTTCAAAACATAAATCTTCAGGCATAAAAGAAAATCCCCTAAATGGGAGAAAAAAATCAGGCCAGTCTGAGATTACTGAATGCCCAAAGAAAAGTTTCTACAAAGTTCTGAGGGAAGAGAGAAAAGTATGACTCAAGAATATTGTATCTAGCCAAGATAAAGTCTTAAAATTATGGCAGAAGGTACACATTTCAAACATGTGAGGACATCATGGGATATGGCATACTTGAATCCTTTTTGAAAAAATGGTAATAAATTTTAAACAAAAAGAGAAGGAAGGGAGAAACCATGGCACAGCAGTTGGTAAACAAGGAATTCCTCAAATATTTGAGACCCTATCCTGCTTACCCTATCTACACAATGTTTTTTAGAGCTGGGAATACAACAAAAACAAAATCCCTGCCCTTACAGAGCTTATGCTCTGCAACAGAGAGAGTAAAAACAGATAAATATAGATTATCAGGTACTGAGGAGTGCTATGGATAAAAATGAAGCAGAGTAAAGGGAATAAAGAGTGCTATTATGAAGGTGGTCAGGGAAGGACCTCTTACAAAAGGTTTCATTTAACAAGAGACCTGAAAGATTTAAGAGAACCAGTCATGTGGCTATCTGGTGGAAAGTGTTTCTGGGAGAGGGGGCAGTGAGCATTTAGGCTCTAAGATTAGATAGCAAGGAATGTATCAGTATGGCTGCAGTGGAATTGGAGGGCAAGTGCAAGGAGATGAGGTTGAGGTGCCTGGCACACAATCTATGATCAATAAATGGAGCCCAGGTACAGTAGCTTACACCTGTAATCTCAGTACATTAGGAGGCTGAGGCAGGAGGATCACTTGAGCCAAGGAATTCAAGACCAGTCTAGGCAACATATAGCCAGACATTACTTGTACAAAAAATTAAAAATTTAGCCAGATATGTGTAGTCCCAGCTACTTGGGAAGTTGAGGCAGGAAGATTGCTTAAGTCTAGGAGTTGGAGGTCGCAGTGGGCTATGACTGAACCATTGCATTCCAGCCTGGATGACAGAGCAAGACCTAATTTCTAAATAAATAAGTAAAAAAAATAAATAAATGGAAAGCTTTGTGCTTAAAGTAGAAATCTAAGCTGGGCCTTGACACAGTTTTACAGATAAAATACATGGAAAGAGGAATGTGTTATGTCCTATTTAGGAATAAAATATAGATGAATTTAGCTAAGATGCTGGTAAGCAGTAAAAGCCGAAGGTATTGGAAGTTTGAATTTCAGCTAACTGCATAGGTAGATTATAATTATTTGCCTCATAATTACTGATATGTTGCAAAAACTATTTAACAATTAATAATTAAATGGCACAGAATGTGATGTAAATTGTTAGCTTGGAATAATGCAGAATTGCTTTTCATTAAGGATCAGAGTTTGTCAAAAGAAACTTACTTTCAAATCCCTAGTTAGCAAATTTTCAGTTGGTACCTCCAACTAATCACATGGAAGACAAATTATAAAAGGCAATACTTTTCAAAAGAATCAATAAAATGCTACAATTAGGACACTGTGTGTTACCTGTTTTTTTCACAACAGAAACTACAACTCCTATTAGGTCCACCTCACAACAAGGTGGCTGAAAGTCTGGATCTAATAATCTGTTGAAGTGAAGGGGCTCCCTTGGCTGGTAAACTTGGAATAAGATTTCATCTGAAGCCTAAAGAAAGCAAAACAAACATTTAATACATGAAGAGTCTATAAGCTAACATGCATTTATCAAAACTGAAATATTATTATGAAAAAAAGGGAAGAAAAATTTTGTACCGGTAGTTCCTGATACTGAGTTTTTTTTGTTGCTGCTAACTGGATGTTAGCTTTTTCAGATTTAATTTTAGATTTTGATGCTGCAAGATGATAGATTCTGTATCTCTTTCCCTCTGTTAACAGGGAATATAATTCTGTTGATGGACACCAGATACTCAATGTAACTGTTTAGAGAAGGACAAAAAGATACAATGGAAAGAATTGATCATCATTAAAATTGTTGTTTAAAAATAAATACAGATAATAAAGATCTAAGGATTATATTATCACTTTATGGGTACTGGTAGTCCATTTTGCTCCTCTGATACACACCAACTTTAAACTTTATCTAGCATTTGTAATTATTTTATAACTAAGATTATTTTTAATTTAACAAGAGCAATAAAAACAAAACGTACACACTGACCTGAATCTGTTTCTTCTTTTGCACAGCTTATGATACGCAACTTCCACACAGTTGTAACATCCCTTGATAAACCTTGTTCACCTTGTTCAGCAGATTCCATAGCCTTCCTGAATTCCAACTGGATCTGTGCTTGTTTCTTATCATTTAACATTTGCCTGTGATTATTCAAGGCTCTTAACTGCTCTTCACTGAAATAACACTGTGACCATTTAACATATTGGAATAGAAAGCAAACAAAACAAAAAGTTCCATTATTATAACTGGATCACTCTAAATGGGAACAAATACAACAGAATCAAGTTCATCTTAAGAGTGTGGGTTAATGTACTCAGTTTATCACATAATATTCTCAGGTATCTCAATGTATTACTATCTCAACAAATTTCCCTATGGCAAAAACAATCCCCTAATTATAAAGATACTCTAATAATCATAATTGCCACTACATACATCATAAATGACTAACATTTGGATGCTCATTATACTTGAGAAACAGACGTATGTACGGTAAATGCACTAATTCATTTAACTTTCACAACAATCCTATGAGATGGGTACCATTATTGTTACATTACAGATGATAAAACTAAGGCACAAAGAAAATAACTTGCATAGGCCACACAGGGAGAAGTCCTCTCAAGAACCTTCATTCTTAAACCTTTGTAGTATAATTTCATGAAATCACTGAAATAGGAGATACAATTTAAAATCGGCATGCACTACAAACATTTTTGTCTTTTTCTCTATACTTCTCTCCTACTCAGTTTAGCAAATTCCTGCCTGTACTTCTTGGGAATCTTAGCCAGTGTAACAAAAATAAATACATGAATAAATAAACAAATCAAATAGGAAACAAAATCTAGACATATAACATGCTAGACTGCTACTGTCTCACACGTCATAATATTCTAATCTACATTGGGAAGAATATACCATCTCTGTACCCTGCAGAGGTCTTTCAAAAGAGAGGCACATGATGTTTAAACAAAATTTTTAACATTTTCCATTTATCACTGTCATTGAAAACAAATTCTAAGATGCCTATTTTAGAAATTGATGGTTATATTCCTAAGAACTACAATAACTTTACCTAAGTCAAATCTCATGGAATTATAAATCCTTAGAACTCTTGGAGATAACCTACTCTGAAGTTGTCCCTTGATAGAAGGAGAGAATGAGGCAACAAATCATTTGTTCAGTTAGAGTACCAGGACCAGGTCTAAAATTTAGGCCTACAACTGTTATTTAGCCTCCTTTGTCCTTCCTATAATATTAGTAAATTCTAAGAAGGAAGCCAGACTAAAAGATACACATAACTTTGTGGGAAAGCATAATAAAGCCTTAACATTCAGACTTTTGGGAAGAATACTCACAGGATTTAAAACTGGACTCACTTCTCACAGGGACAGTCCATGTTGCAACATTTGAGAATGGGAGGAAATTCTATTCAGAATAGCACTGCTGGCTTGGCACCTGTAGCTCACTGGCTAGGGCACTGGCCACATGCACCAGAGCTGGTGGATTAGAACCCAGCCCACGCCTGCCAAACAACAATGACAACTATAACAACAACAACAAAAATAGCTAAGTGTTGTTGTGGGTGCCTGCGGGTGTTGTTGTGGGTTCCAGCTACTTGGGGGGCTGAGACAAGAGAATTGCTTAAGCTCAAGGGCTGGAGGTTGCTGTGAACTATGACACCATGGCACTCTACCCAGCAGGACGACATAGTGAGACTCAAAAAAACCCCCCCAAAACAAAAAACAAACAAACAGAATAGCAATGCTCACATTACTGATGAAGTACTGTTTATTTTATAGTCCTACTATTTAAGAAAGTTAATGCTATATTCACAAGGTTTATTAAATCAAATAAAATTCATCAATAAACAGTACATAGTTTTGGTAAAATACTTCCTCCTTCTCCTTTCTATCTAGAAAACTAATCCTAGAATTTGCATTAATTATTATTAGACATCCAGGTGTTTATAAACTTAGTTTAGGACATAATTTATCTTAATACATGAAATAATATTCTAATAACTGTAACTAACATTTATATGGAAATTTTATATATATTAATCTAATTTGATCATAAAAAGATTTTATATCCACTTTATAGCCATTTTATTCCCATTTGCCTAATACTGATAAATAACAGAGTTATTTATGATTGTAAAGGCTATCCTATTTCTTTTTTTTTTTTT